GCTTCCGCGAAACTTGTAATCGTGCTCGGATATCTCAAGTATCTTTGTATTGGCTGGCATTTCTGCCTCTGTGCGCTTCTCTATGATGTATGTTTCACCTGAATTCTTATTTGGGATTACTTCGATGCCACGCTTGGTGCTTTTCCTCTCTAGACGATGTCTTGCTCACGCAGTGTGCCATTCATTACAGGTTCTCACTTCAGCTGGCCCACAACCGCCGAAAGCCCGCAACTGCTACAAGCACATGGATTTCAGTTTCATCCCATACGCCAAGCCGCAAACGTTGCGTGCTATTTTGTAGTGTCTGGTGTACTAATCAGGTGACCAGGTGGGGCGCCGACGTAGGTGAAACCATTTTGTTCCATGTTGTATTGCATTATGTACATCCCATTTTCAGAGCATATTTGTTTTACCCTTACCTCAAACTCCCCCCCAACAGAGGCCGCTACGTCAGGAGTCATTACAATTTCCGCCTAGACCACGACGATTTACTGTGGCTATTTCCGCTGGCCGCCGACGCCGGTGTGCGACGCTGAACTGCCGTCTGCAGCTTCGTGCTGTGAGGTGCGAATCTGTCTCCGCGGGTCAGGAGATGTCAACTCCCTGCCGATCGCGGTGGTCAGGAATGGTGACCCATGAAGGGTCAAAATCTAGGTCCGGTGAAGGCCGTGAGATGATAGCGACTTCTGTGTTACGGTGTGTCAGGAAATAGTAGCGACTCCTGTCATCGCAGTGTCAGGAGATGTCGACTCCCGTCACCAAGCGCCAGGTGACTATCAACTCGCCGACCTGCCACTGCGCCGGGGCACGCAGGGGGAGGAGTGCCGGTCGGGGTAGCTCCTTACAACTATTGGTATGCATTAAAATGGAAGACCGAGGTTCCTCACGACTGTACCAAAGCCAGCTTGCGGTTGCTGCCATAAACCACAGAGCTGCTATAAAGTACAATAATTTTCATCACAGCGGCTCTGGACAGTCCCGCCTAGGTCATCCATTTGGGACCCTCACATCTGCCTATACCAGGAGGAAGCACTTTTAACGAATGTTGTTCACAGTCAGTATTGTGTCGTAACACAGCGGGGCGCTCATACGGCTGAATTAAACACCAGGACACAGATTATTGGTCACGGGCATTTTTTATTTCTTTACGGAATGCTCCACATTTTAAGATATTAAATCCAGCATCAGATATGCTAGAATAGGCTCACTTATGACTATTCGTATACTTTGAACCTTAAACGGCTGCTCTAGACAACGCAACTTCTCCACTTAGGCAATACGCGCATAAATACGTCATTGTTTGACTGCGTCATGGAACGTTTGTATCACGTTCAGGTGTTGCCAAACTAGTGCGAAATTGCCACCCGTGTACTCACTCGCATTACTTGGCGAGGCACACCACGTTGCTCCAAACCTGGGCCGGTATGCAACTGATGGCAGCACGCATGGATCCTCGCCTGTCCGAAGGACACGGTAATTAAAAAGGCGGAACATCCGATCATACCATTCTCCAGTCGGCTATAACACGATTGCCTCAATTCGGATACAAACAGATGCAACAGGGTTCACTCTGGTTCCTCCCCCCATGCTATTGCAACCGGCGTCGCATTGCGCTCAACAGCAGCACTGAATAATTCATGAGCAAGAGTGATTTCTTTCTGTCACAATTTGCGTTTCACGAACAGGCCAGCCCGTGAACCCCAGCAGGGCAGAACAGGTCGTCTTTGATGCAATGTTCCGCTGCTGGTGTGTCACCGGCCCGACCAGCTGGCCGGCACCGAGCCGCAGGAGTCCCCGCTCCCGCTCAGGAGAGGTCAGCCGCCCCTCCAATGACCTTGTACGTGTAAAAGTGTAACGCTGCGGGGATGGTGAGTGTACGTCTCGCCAAATATCAGCTGACCAGTCGGACCAGTATATAAGGCCCCGCTGACCGGTGTAGAGCATCACTAGATCCCTGCACTCCGCAGAACACACACCCTACTCCGAGATGAAGCTGGTGAGTGTATAGGTCTTTTAAACTCCCGCCAGTCGACTGCTCTCTCTTTTCTGAGAAAGACGATCTGGTCAAGCTGACGAGGGCTTCTCTAGGTTAGCCGATATTGCTGGCTGCCAGCAACGGGTTCCAGCATGGTGCCCTTGGCTACAGTGGGCGGGAAGGGCGAAGCCGGCTTGCTGTGTAGGTTAAAATGTCGGCGCCAATTGCGCAAAATCAATCATACATAGGTTCGAGTTTGGGCATTTTCTCCGTTTTGGAATAACCATGGCACCGTTGCGTTCCCCTCTTGGATCAACTGCTCTTGGTAGTGACCAAGCACTTCTTATGCCGTCGCTTATCTAGCACACCTAAGTTTGATAAATCAGTTTATCTCATGCATGCCATCGTTCGAACCACGACGCCGACAGACCGGATCTTCCTTCTCAACCCGGAGTTTCGAATGCCAAGCTGCTGTAAAGCATGTCATTCACGGTTCAGTGATGCAAGTTCTGAAGTCCACTCCTTTTGTTTCAGTTCATCGTCGCTGCCGTCCTGGCCGTTGCTGCCGCTGGACAGGCGGCCTGCTCCGCCCGCGTACTCCGCCCCTGCTCCGCCCTCGTACTCTGCCCCTGCCCAGCCCTCCTACTCTGCCCCAAGTACGCCCCCAAGGTTGATCGAGATCCTGAGCCAGGAGTTCGACCTGCGTGACGACCAGTCTTACGATTCCAGGTAAGATAATAAGGTTTTCTTCCTACCGAATATTTAGTTTTCTTTTATGTTTCGGCAATGAACTGATTTGCTGAATGATCATGTGTATGGAATGCGCGCCTTTGCATTTCCCATCGATTTTTTGCAAACCGGTTTCAATTTTAACACTGCTACAACTATGAATCAAATTGACCAGCTCGAAAATTTTGTTTTATCCCGCTGTTTGTCTTGTATAACAGACGTGCCATGTTCTGAGAACACACCGTCAAATTCTCGCCACAGAAATAATATCGCAGTTATTCGCAACGCTTCGCATTTTCACAGCTACCAGACTGCGAATGGCATTTACGCCTCCGAGTCTGGCCAGGCTGTGGCCGGATACGGAGGTGAGCAGAGCTACGCCGTTCAGGGCCAGTACAGCTACACCGGCGACGACGGTGTCAGCTACACCGTGACGTATGTGGCCGACGCCAACGGCTTCCAGCCGCAGGGTGACCACCTGCCGACCCCCGTGCCCACCGAGTACCCGACCCCGGAGGTGCCGGTGACCCAGGCCAGCTACCAGGCTGCTCCTGCTCCCAGCTACCAGGCTGCTCCTGCTCCCAGCTATCAGGCTGCCCCCGCCCCCAGCTACCAGGCTGCCCCTGCCCCCAGCTACCAGGCTGCCCCTGCCCAGAGCTATCAGCCCGCCCCCGCACCCCAGTACCAGCCCACATACCAGTAATTGTGAGTCAAATCCTTTCTGTCCATCGTTGCGATGCGACCAGTATATACCGACTACGCTTATACGTTTGTCTATTTATTGTGATGTTTGCAAGGAGTATTTTGTTTGATTGCGTCGTGTGACTGTTTCCAATATATGTGCATTTCCCAAGAACTACAATATATCTGTTGGTGATGAAGGAAGCATAACGCAGTCTTCCGGAGCGCGGTATATGAACTTCCACTGCCAGCCGGTCTATCATCCTGGAAGAGCCCGGGCGAAAGATGAAAAAGACTTCCGATTTACCGGATATGATTGATTAGAACAACGGACACTTGCGAGCCAATTGGTGGCAAAATTTCGAAAATGGGAACGGATCACGACAGACCAGACCATGTCAGAACAGACCATCTCAGCAAGACGAAATTCAAAGCTTAGTATTGGTCTGTGCTCGCTAACGATTGCAGCGTGAGCTTGTGTAAATAGGGTAAGCTTGAGCGTGAGCTTGTGTATAGCGCGAGCGTGAGCTTGTGTACGTTTCGCCGTGCGAGAAAGTTGAGCCACAAGATGTTGCCAACCATTGTGGCTTGAATCAGAAACTGCTCTGATTGGACAGGACTACATTCAGAATTGATAAGGATCAGACAGCTCTTGGTGAACAAGAGTTTGTCAGATTCTGACGTTGAAAACGAAGTACGAGGACGTATGGCAGGACACTTTGACAGCAAACCAAGACAGGACATCCAACCAACCGTCAAACTGTATTATCAAAATCAAATGACATCTACCCACAAAAAAGACGAAAAAGCTTTACGGGAAATTATCTCTCGACACGTAAAATGCATTAACGACCACAAAATAGACATTGCCATTTATTATCGTGTTAAGAAACCCTCCAACTTTCTTATAAGAAACAGCTCAGACAAACCCGACAAACTAAGACGCACCAATGCAGGGTGTCAATTCAAATGCAACATCGAAGGCTGCAAACTTCGTTCCATACACTATACTAGTGTGACCACGGCACTCTCACGACGCCTGACAACGCACTTACGTGACGGGGCACCTCTGGACCACATGCGACAAAAGGTACGCTCACATATGCGCGGCATGCGGAAGTTTTTGAGACCGCTTTGAACGAAAATCGACCAAGACTATGTGAACATAGTGAACAAGCTCACACAGTTTCAAGGTAAGCGCCAGGCGAATCATGGCTATGCAGAACTGGCTGACAATCAAAACAAGTAAAAAGGGAGTGACTAATTTATCGGCCGTGCAACTTCATACCACAGGACTTAATGTTTTAGCCAAGGGTCCAAACTTTGCGCAGACAAAATCAGCATCTAGAACATTTTACTTCAAGCAGAAACAGGACTTGGGCGTTTTGCACACGGCAAACGGTGGAGAGACTGCATCCTAAAATTGCGTGAATGCAGCATCACAACTATTACTGCAACTGCACCCGGCCACGACCGACCAGCTTTTAACAGAAGGTGCAGATAACGTACCGCGCACGTGCAAGAACCACACAGAAGGCAACCTAAGTGTCACTGTAGATCACCGGAACTTTACCAAAGGCCTTGGGAAAAATAACACTATCGCTGAACAGAGCGATGAGTGAGGGCTTTGTAATTCTAACTTCTGTTAACAACGCTCAAGCTATACTTAACGACAGCGACAGCTATGACAAACTTAATAGGAGCCCAGGCTCTCAGATAAAGGCGACAACAAAAAGGACACTAAAGAGCTGTTAGCGGAAAACGTTCGGACAAAACTATCCAAGATCCAACACCTAGACACAGTAGAGCGCCTATGTTCTATGGGCTGCCGAAGGGTCACAAACCTGCAGTACCCCTTAGACCCGTCAAATATGGGTGCGGTGGTTCTACAAAAGAAACTTCGTGTCTTTTAGAGAAAATACTCACCCACACTTGAGGTTCGTTCCCACTCATCTGTGGGACAACATATTTTTTTACAAATACTTCTCATCACTCGCAGGCAGAAGGGCAACCGAAGGCAGCGTTTTCTTCAGTGTAGATATTGCCAATTCATGACAGTATACCAATCAATGAGGCTGTCGCTGCTGTGAAAGCTAAGGTAGACCAACATTTTCATGAAATTAATGCTTCGGTCTATCAAGAGAGGATATCTGCCGTCTTTTACCACAGTGTCTCCAGGGTCTTTCCTCGCTCAGAGATGACTTCTACCAACGGAAATTGAGTATAGCCATGAAGAAACCCATGCGCTCCTTCGGCGAAAATATTATTGGACCAATTTTAAAACGAAGACCTTGGCCGCACACCCATTAAATCAACTTTCTTAGCCAGATTCATATAAAAAGATATCACGGACGGACAGCCTGCCTTCAAACAATTTTTAGAATCCATGAACAACCAGCGTCCAAATTCAGCCTCTACGATGGTAAATACAGGGGCGGAAAGGGGGTTCCATATTACATCAGCATTTATATTCTTACGCATATTATTACATGTATTTAATATTACATATCTTACATTATTACATATACTACACTAGTGACTGCGGAAAGGGGGAACAACCGCGTGACGTCAGAAACAGAGCTCTTTATCAGGCCCACCTAATCTGGTATAATTCTGCAATGCGAATCTGCGTATCCAACATCCGCTAAGCACGACATAATTCGTATCATGTTCCATAGAGCTCTAAGCTGCCTTCCGATCCACCCACCCGTGGCAAGGTGGGTTCGAGTCGCTTTAGGGCACTCGCTATTTGCCCTTGGCAGGTATGGCCCGCGGCCGGTGGCAGCGGGCGCGCTACAAGTCAGCTGACGTCAGAGGGCAGGATGGACCGTGCAGAGCATTGCGGCACGTCAAGCTTTCGCCATTAAATGCTGCTGTTGCTTGGAATTGCGCGATCGGATGGTGGGGTCAAGCCTCACACAACAAGCTCTGCTTAGCGTGAGCGCTGATCCCAGAAATCCATCCATTCAAGGGGTTCGGACCAAAGTTATAAAAAAACTAAAAGTATTGAGAAAGAGAGAAAGAGCACAAACGAATTATGGACTTTGCTGTTGGGCAGGGGATACACTCCGCGACTTTTAGGTAGAATATAGGCAGGTTTAGGCAAAAGAAAAAAATCTGGAGCGCATGGGGATGGGTGGTAGCAGGCGGGAACACATCCTATCGGATGACGGATTCTTGACGCTATCTTGCATAGATGGGTACTTGCTTTGGAAAATCAAACACACCGTTAGAAAATCAAAACGGCGCGTGCGCATAGCTTGAAAAAAACCGCGATGAAGCAAAATATCTCTGGGGAAACCTTTCATCTCGAAGTCTAAATACCCGGGCAGAAAATGTCATTTCTGCAAGTCTGGGTCTCAACAGGTTTGCACAAAAAAATAACAAAACAAAAAACAAACAAACGTGGCTTACGAAACGAAGCGTAAACTCTGAAAAACATTGGAAGGACGCAGTCTTTGTCGGAGAGTCCATGTGTCCTATACATTTGAGGCGTCATGAACACCTGCGAGACACTAAAAGCAAACAAAACCCCTTTCGGTGACTTTCGGCTAAGCACGCTCGGGCTGAAATCCAGGGAGGTATAGACCTTTTGCCCCTTTTAGAGTCCAAGGTCATCTAAAGAGCACAGAACCATCCAAAGAGGGATATAAGTGAATCTATTCTACTAAAAGTCGGCGACTACATCGTAACGTCCAAGACTCATCATGGCTGATTATGCTAACTTGATACATGCTTTGGTGTGTGAAGCGTGCTAGGCTAAAATCGTTCACCTGTGTGAGTGATGCCTAACGCGTGATGCGTGATGCCTGTTGACTGGAACCGCCTGCGTACATAATTGATGCGTGATGTGTGATGCCTGTTCCCTTCAACTCGCTTCCACGTTTGAATGGTGATGCGTGATGCCCGTTAACTTGAATTTGTTTCAAAAAAGCCCTGAAAGATCGAGTAGGATCATTAGCAGGTCATTTTGGTTTCACTTCTGCTATCGTTTCGATAAAGGGACGTTGCCGAAATATCAGCGGTCATCATCTCCATTCTCCTGTTTTTCTCTCTGAGGAATAGGGCTATAACTACTCTCTTAACTATGTGAATAATGTTCCTCGCAAATGCACGCAACAATTTACATAATCCAAAAATCTGTTATGTTACTAGCAACGATTCTTGCCTGAATACATAAACAGTGTCTTATACCTTGCAGATAGTCTTCGGAAAGTACCAGTCATGCAATGGCCAGGCCAGGCGGCACACTGGCTAGGATACCGCGCTGGACCTAGCCAAGCAATTCAGAGTGTAAGGGCCAGCATAGACGCCCGCGGCTTCCGGCGCAGGCTCTGTGCAGCTGCTTTCTACGCGAGGACCCGCAAAAATTGCTTGTTTAAATTCGAAGCCGTCCAACATGGAATATGCACGCATCACCAGTGCCTACAAGCGACTGGCGGAGAGGGGTGCGCTCCGGTATCTTAGCGTTACAAACAAGTGCTTGTTTCTAAACCTCTGTCGCGAATTCGGACGTCAATCAAAGCCTGTAATTGGTCGGGGAATTGGTGTCTGCACAGCTGTAAACCTCGCGGGACCCCGGTTGCCATGGTGATTATACCCCCCCCCCCCCCGGACTGGGGAAAAACCCCATACTTAGTTGTTTGCTTTATCGGAAGTGCGCGAATACCGGCGTGAAGGGCGAAATACCGACGAAACAGGTCAATGGAACCCAACCCAGCTGTCGCTCTCCATGCCGTTCACTTTGATAGCTGAAGTGCTCATTTTCTTTTGACGGCTTATCCGACGCAGTGATGCGAGGCTGTTTCATGGCCACCCTAAACAAAATTAAGAGAAGGCTTGGGATGAAATACAAGAGCGGGCGTAAGCATAGCGGATCTGCTAACGTCTGGTCATTGCTCACTGCTCGTCTGCTCAAGTGGTGACTTAGATGAGTTTAACAATGAAATTATGTCTTATGGGCGTGATCTAAGGAAATACTGTGGGAATTAATACCGTGTCAGTGATTTGTGTACTGCCAGGTGTCAAGCATCATTTTGGTTGTGTGTTAACAACATAGGATGTGATAGAATATGAAATACAATTGAATGCCACTTAAGCTAGCTTGGTAGAACGTAATTTTCAAATGAACTGAATATCATAAATCGATGGAGCTGTTCACCGAGCGCGAATAACG